ACTATTGTCCGTTTTGATCACATAATTGTTAGGTCATCCGATCGTTGGGACCACTCGCAATATGGGGTGTGTAGGGGATGGGCCAATATTCTTCGGAGCTCAAAGGCTTACTCGGCATAGAGATATGTCTACTCCGCGCTAATCCGTAGATCTTTATGCATTATAACTTGCATGTTCGAAGGAATACACAATCGTTTACTCAGTTGTGTCAACAATATAGGAGCTGAGAATGCAATCACTTACTTCAGTTGAATTGATCAACTAAAATCATTAAAAAGCTATCAAATGTTGCACTTTCAAGACAGAATTTTGTGTATACGGGGTAGTTAATTGCACTGATTAGCTTATTCTTCCCTGTTAGTACTCATCAGAAGTGAGCAATATTTATGGGCCCCCCTCTATCGACACTCGAACGCTAAACTTCCGGGTTGGAAGTCGAAACTCTTAGGACTTATTAGTAATGCACGATGCGTCGATATGTACTGTAGTTCTGCGTAACTGATGTAGCACAAAAAGGACAAACAATGAGCAGCCAAAAGTGTTAGTTGACAAAATGTTGAAAATCGGTTTCTCCTGGCTCGGGTGAACTGAATTCCATTTCGCCTGTTCGCCGAGCTTGGCAATTTGTTTGCAAACGTTTCATCACCAGCCGAGGTGACATCATCAGTGCTTGTAAAGTGGCACTGATGATGTCACCTCGGCTGGTAATGAAATGTTTGCAAACAAATTGCCAAGCTCGACGAACAGGCGAAATGGAAGTGTTAGTTTTATTACGAAGAGCACTCATGGTTTTTATTCGAATAAAAATATGGTCAGGATTTTTCTCAGGAAATGAAACTGGAATGTACGGACTTCTCAGTTTAGATTGAAGTGGTGAACGTCAGTGCTTGGGACAGATGGAAAACATGTTCAAACAAACAACCGTTTTCGAAAAAATCGATGTGATCACCGACAAAGAACACTGGCCAGCTGTTTTGTCCTGTTCGGGACTCGTTAACAGTGTACACGTTTTATTCTCCTGTCAGGACTCGAACCGTGAACCTTCGGGTTAGGACTCAACACCTTAAGATTGTAATACGCGACCGACGATCACCACCTTGCGCAAACCGCTTAACCAATTTAGACGATGAATGTTTGGATTGGCCCATTCGGTTTTTCTCAGACATGTCAAAACAGCTGTTCAATGCCCTTTATTGGTCATGAGAAAGATTTCTATCTCATTGAAGTGCAATTAACTGGTGCAGAATCAACGATCTCCCAAGGAATGAAACCCAAATTCAAGATCATTATCAGTGCCTGGTGCCTGTGTATAACCGAATGGGTTAATCCAAATGTTTACTGTTTAAATTGTTTTTGAAATCCGTAAGCACCTCAGGGGCTGGGGAAACGAGATCCATTGACTTTTGTGTTTGAGAAAGAGTTAGTGTCGAGTGAGTTGCCATCTTAGTTCTAATCGCTATAAGGCGTTTAGGCCAAAAGAATCCATGGGTTCCGGTGCATAGTGTGTATGTGTGGCTGTGTAGATGTAGTCCACAGGAGATGCACAGCCACAGTGCTTAGGTCAACGTAAGAGGAGGTTCTTTCATCCGAATGGATAATTTCCGAGGCGTGTAAATCGTTGCGAAATAGGCCACTGACACAGATGAATAAATACAACAGCATGGGTGAGTTCAGTATAGATAAGTTGCTATGTGAACATTTCCGATGAAGCTTCACCTCTGAAAAGAAGACCCGTGCATAAACCGTCCCACTCCATTTTCAGAATCTCTATTTAATCAAGAAGCTTGATCACATTTTCCTGCACAAAGTCGTCCGGATAATCAATATTTCTCAGAAACAACGCATATCCTGCAGAATCTGCAGGCTCCAGGCAATTTATCAGATTCCTCTTCTATCTTACCGTTAATTAATTGTGTTTGCACACTGACCTATTCAGGTATTCGTCGTTTTTCACAGGGTCTCATACATTCAACGTGGTTATAATGTGTTCATAATTAACAGCGGTATCAAACTAGTGCGACCCACCACCTGTATGAAGGTGTGAGTCAGCTACACTGAATGGAAAAGGAAAAACGATGAGAAAAGGTAAAAATTTGCTTTCGACTTTTTCCAATTGTGCATAATGAAGAAATCTACTGAACGAATGGGCTGGGAGGATCCCAGCATCGCTTTTATCAGTAGATGTTCCGACTGAACAAGAACTGAACGTTACGTGTGTATTTAAGCAGGCGTCCTCTTAGTTGTTCGGCCGAAAAATAAAGCATTTTAAGTACCCTTGATCCAGAGCGACCAATTTATATCGGGATGTATTTTAAATGTGCATGAGAATTGTTGATAAAAAAATGTAAATCGTCAAAAACAACCAACATTCACTTGTCTGTCATTTAGTGATCTAACGTCAATCATATCAACGAACAAATGTCTATATGTGATAGTTTTCTGAATGTTGACATGGAAAAGTCATTAATCAACCCGCATATAAACGATTTCAAACAAATCATTCGATCTGATCACCGTAATCATCGAATGGCCTCACTGGGTGCTCTCGTGACATACTCCCGAATCTGATCAGCTGATCAGTTTCTGATATTTCCTTAATTACGATCTGACAGTTACATATTCATGAGCCCATAATAATCAAAACTCACGAATGCAAATTTTGCTAAACACAGGAAAACAATCATAATAAACACAATTTCAAGGTGGATTCAATAAACAAAATAGTTGTGATGTGAACTACTAATGATGTTCACATGCATTCTTGCAATCCCATTCCATGCCACCAAACATCATGACCTGTACGACAAAGTAGTTCCTGGAGCATCTGATTACCAGTTTTACAAAGTACCTGCCAGTGCATGCACGACAAATCGAGTTGTTGAGGTGGTTCTGAACGCATCGGAAGCACATTTCCCACGTGACTCGATGATCGAGGCGAATCAAACAGCTTTTCTGCTCCTGGAAAGTGGGTTTGTCATTGCCACACTTACTTTACACGTATTTCCCAACTCGGAACGAAACGAATAGAAAAGTCCAAAATGAAAAAAGCTCACTTTGAGTCGTTACGAACAACGGCCCTGGTTGAACATTTCATTGTTAAGGATGCAGAGTATAATGAACTAAACTTATGAGGTGAGAAAGGAATACACCCAAACCCTGCGCAATGAGCTGCATACTTTTAGAAGACTTTGAATGGCTAATACCCAAACAGATTGGAAGGCCACGCCGAAGTATCACTGTGGCTACCAAACTCTTTTTCTTTGATTCTGCAACATGATTTAGATCATCAATCGAACAGAAAATAGTTTTTAGTTCACTGCGTATCACAAAATGAAGTTTAGTTGTGTCACAAAAGGGGATTTGGATTTCAAACCGGTCACAAATAGAACTGTCATCATTCGATCGTCAAATGCATGAACAGGTGAAGTGAATTAAGAGACAGCGCGAGTTGAATAGAGTGCAAAAGCCGTTTCTGATCTACGGATGGACCACCGCAAGCAAATACAATCAATCCTCGTGCGATTAGGTTGCGTTGATTTCATGCGAAACTATCGATGAAGCTCTCATCCCGCTTCTGTGCTTCAGGCAGTCATGTTTGATGTATTCTATTATGGCAATGCAGAGGGGGTTGAAACCCCATAACTTCCTTGTCCTCGTCCAATCTTCTCTTCTTGTTGCATACTAATTTTCTATCGAAAGCTTCTAATTCGGTCCACTGGTCACAGGATGATACCAACCACCGCCGTTCCTTTTCTTGTCTCACGACTCACCAGCCCAAGGAGTATCGAGATTGTGATGTCATCATCTATCACACCTTTCCTTGAAATCATCGCTCCATGGATTTTATCCAACCATCTCTATTTCAAAACTCATAAAACCACTCTATTTATATAATCCTTTAACCATGCTGCATATTTTCTGAAGACGAATTCTGGCCTCCTTCCCATTTCTGCCCCGCAAGTTCCATAAATTGTTCTATTTGTTCCCATTTACAGCCGCAACTGTCTCTCGTGCTGCACGTGAAATTGATTTCCGATTCTGCTCCAGACGCTTCTTCACGCCCGTTCACTTCCATTTGTTTTACATAGCTCAACTATGCCAACAATCTAACTACGTGTGGGGTGAAGTACCGTTTTCTGTTTTTTCCTCTCTTGACCGAGTCCAACATCGAACCATTTGGCTGATCAGCTATTCTTCCGCAGCCTCAAGTCCACGGGGAATTTCTTCGCCATCCTTTTGCTACCCTTTTTGGAATTTCTTCTGCTTTTCATCGAATACGGCAGCGGTTTCCATGTT